ATACACACATAGGATATATATGCAATACTACCATTGTGCATACAGTATCATACAGTATTCAGATGTATTCACTTATTAATTGAAATTACGCTCTGTCTCATGCTTCACTCAGTCTCCAGCCTGAGGTACGTCACGAAGCTGGCGGTGTCCAGTGAAACGCCCGAGGTCAGAGGGGGAAGCTGCTGGGCCTTGAGCGGTGCAAAAATAGGACGACAGGATACGACAGGATACAACAGGAATCAATATTGCTCAATATTCATCAAGGCCATTCACTGTGGTTCAAAATCGTCAATACTCTTAAATTGCAAACTGAGTGCATCTCAAGAGTTTGCCTGCTGAGTTCTCAAGTATAAATGCAATATGCTACAAACCACGACAAGAACCATGCACTTGTGCATGTCGACTATATTTCTCTTGCCGGAGCAACCAGCTCCACATGAAGACAAATGAAAGTGATTGAAAGTGCATGTTCAAAGCTGTTGGGAACTGCAGTGCTTACTTTGCGAGAGCGCATTCTTGAGAAGTCCCAAAGAAACTAGACGACGGATGGCCCGAGAGCGTAGAGGAGCAGGGTCTTCTCTTGTTAGTATGGAGACACCATATTACAAAACAATATATTAAAGATGTGTTATAGGCAGACGAGAAGAGGAGTATCAAGACAATATAGCACAAGTACAAGACAATAGTTTGCATCGCAAACACTTTTACACACAGAAGCTTTTACACACAGACGCTTTTACACACAAAAGCTTTTACACACAGAAGCTTTTACACACAGAAGCTTTTGCACGCAGACACTTTTACACACAGTTGCTTTTACACAGACGCTTTTACACACAAAAGCTTTTACACACAAAAGCTTTTACACACAGACAGCTTTACACACAGACGCCTTTACACACAGTTGGTTTTACACAGACGCTTTTACACACAAAAGCTTTTGCCCACAGAAGCTTTTACACACAGACAGTTTTACACACAGACGCTTTTACACACAGACGCTTTTACACACAGAGACTTTTACACACAGACGCTTTTACACACAGACCCTTTTACACGCAGACCCTTTTACCCACAGACAGTTTTACACACAGACGCTTTTACACACAGACGCTTTTACACACAGAGACTTTTACACACAGACGCTTTTACACACAGACCCTTTTACACGCAGACCCTTTTACACAAAGAAGCTTTTACACACAGACGCTTTTACACAAAGAAGCTTTTACGCACAGACGCTTTTACACACAGACGCTTTTACACACAGACGCTTTTACACACAAACACTTTTACACACAGACAGTTTTACACACAGACGCTTTTACACACAGAAGCTTTTACACACACGCTTTTACACACACGCTTTTACACACAGACGCTTTTGCACAGAAGCTTTTACGCACAAACACTTTTACACACACTTTTACACACAGAAACTTTTACACACAGAAACTTTTACACACAGTTGCTTTTACCCACAACACTTTTACCCACAAACACTTTTACACACAGAAACTTTTACACACAGACGCTTTTACACACAGACCCTTTTACACACAGTTGCTTTTACACACAAACACTTTTACACACAAACACTTTTACACACAGTTGCTTTTACACACAGAGGCTTTCACACACAGACACAGACCCTTTTACACACTTCGCCGGACAACTTGGAAATCGCAATTTTACCACAGTTTTTGGCGATCGAACCTCATTTCATGCGAAAGGGTCGCGATTGGACAAGAGAAATTGCAATTTCACCGCAGTTTTTGGCGATCGAACCTCGTTTCGTGCGAAAGGGTTGCGATTGGACCCTTGAAATCGCAATTTTACTTCAGTTTTTGGCGATCGAACCTCGTTTCGTGCGAAAGGGTTGCGCGGGACGACTTGGACATCGCAATTTTACCTCAGTTTTTGGCGATCGAACCTCATTTCGTGCGAAAGGGTTGCGCGGGACAAGTTGAAATCGCAATTTTACTTCAGTTTTTGGCGATCGAACCTCATTTCGTGCGAAAGGGTTGCATTTCGTGCCGTCTCGTTGGCACTGCCCCTGCCCCCGCCTTCAAGAGAGAAATAGAAAAGAAGGAGAGGGCAAGAGGGCAAGAGGGCAAGAGGGTAAGAGGAGAAGATGTGAGGATGAGAAAGAGGAGAAAGAGGAGAAAGAGGAGAAGATGTGAGGATGAGAAGATGTGAAGAGGAGAACATGTTTTACAGACCCCCACTATTGGAAGAACCCTGCGCTCAGACGCTCTCGGGAAAAAACTCCCATCATGCGCACATCTTTCTTTGAAGATTAAACGTCATACCCACAGGTGTGGCTCCACCGAGTGTACTCCACTTATTGTTCGTTCCAGTGTGGCACCCTTTGGAATTGCAGGTGATGCTACTCGGAGCAAAATCCTTTTTGTGCTTGATCAGTATCCATCTGGACTTGAAGGCCCGCTATCTGCAGCAGTTTCAGTTACAGTAATGTTGCAAATGGTTTCCAACTGACCAATTAAACGTTTATAAAAATATAAATTAATTCTAAGCGTACCTTGTGAGATCTACAGATCTACTGAGCTGAATTCCAGGGGCTTAAGACGCCAACCTTTCGTTCGGGTCGCTATGGTCGCTCCCATCCGAATGTCTCCCACCTCCAAAGCCGTGGGCAGGGACCAGCAAGGCAAATGCCAGCAGCACAGGTGCCATTGCAGCCCCCGGATGCGGACGTGGACGCCGTGGACGCACCACGCTCAAATCAAAGAATCTCGGAATTCAACGCATATCTTAATCATATCGAATCATATCCTAGTTATCAATAGTTATCACTGAAAATCACTGAAAATCACTGAAAATAAATATGACTTGTGGATGTCCCAATCCGCCCGCACTACAGGTGCTCTGCGTGTGACATACAAACAATCACAGCTTTTTGGGAAGGGAGGATTGCTCCTGAAACTGAAACGTGTTTTTTTTGATGTTTTTATATAGTTGCATTAATCGCCTTTTACAACTCCTTTCTTCGCAAATGAAGCTTTGTCTGAAAGTTCATACCAGACCTTTTGCACTTCTGGTTTTTTTCATGTTCTTTTTTCTTCGGGTATGCAATGTGTTCCTTGGAGAAAGAACATATCGCCCCAACTCATCGAACCCAATATTGGACCCAAATCTCTAGAACTGTGGGGTATCTGATCCACAGGATCCAAGTCCTCTAAATCTGTTTTTTCAAGGCAATCATAATCAAACATGCCAAAAAATGGGGCGCTGCAGATGCAGCAGAGTCTTTTTTGCAAAAAGGAATTTCGTGCTGAAATAACTAAAAACGATGCCAGCGAACTTCAACTCTGTTGACTCGTTGGTGCTGTAGCACTATCTTCATTGGCTACAAGTAGTAATTGCTTATACGAATGTATGTGTGTGTGTGTTTTTAAGTTTTCATACTTTCCCTATGCGTTGCTTTTTTGGTAATTCCAGACTTGCTGATGATTCCAACTTGTTTGCAAGCTGAAATATAGTTCTCTGACAAACAAGTAGTCAGTACCACACAGATCTGGAGCATAGCCAAGCAGGACCGGGTAGCGGCAGTAGCATAGATATGCATAGACTATGCATAGATTATGATCACAGATCATGTCTGCAGTTTGTAGCCTTTTACTGCCATCCCACAGGTGATGTGAGGCATGACCTTTGCAATGTTTGTCGAAATGCGTTGCCTTTTGGCGGCCATGGAGGAGGCGCAGAGCGCCGTAAATCTGTGATTTCACATGATTTCACATGGTCTCACTACGGTGGAGTGCCAATCTCAGCATGGAACCTGCATGACTATCTGCAGCACCTCAAAGCTAGAATGGTGTCTTACACGTGCTTGGCTGCGAAGCTTCAGTGCTGACAAACATCTCAAAATGACCCTCAAAGTTGATACAAAGAGCCGGCACTGGTCTTGTAGATTCAATTTCTCTGGACTCTGGATCTATCATTCCCCTCCGAGCATGTTTAGCTGAATCTGAGCCATGCTCTGCGAAAGTCACACACCAATATGGCTTCAAGCTTATGATTTACAGTATGAGACTAGGTCCCACATGTCTATGACACATTGTTGTAAATGTTGTAAATATGAACGGTTTCTGAATTTTCACATGTCCGGAAGCCAAAGCTGGCAAACAGAGGAAGCCGGGCAGGAAGCCACAGGAATAAAAGGCAGTGAGGAGAGGAAGCAGAAGGCTATGCGGCTCCTAATCTGCTAACAATAATGAAATCATATCCATCATATCTAAATGCTGAATCAGATGAATCAGATGAATCAGATGAAGCGCAGATCTGCTGAATCACCTAGGACTCCTAGTTGCTTTGCCTGGAATCAAAGCTCGAGGGTTGTTCCGCACATCAGGCGAAGCTTGGATCACTTTGCAGTCCTTGCTTGGAGAAAGCGAAGATTGACCGGTCTGCGGTCTGCATTCAAACTTGTACTTTTGGAGGGAAATTGCAGCATGACCCAGTAATCCCAGTATGACAAGATGGCATACAGGAGAACATTTGACATGCTTCGAGATGCTTCGAGTAAGGTCTCAGATTTCGAGGTCTGAGGATGGGATGTCGGAAGAAACATGAGACAAAGCTACGACTTGGATCGAGAAAAAATTATGATTTCAGTCGTAGCTTTACCAACACCAAGGCACTGCAGGCCGCAGGCAACAGGGACAATGACGTTCAGGCCCTGCAGACTGGAAAAATGATCGGAAAATGATTGGAATACGAATGCAATTCAAAGGCACATCAAATGAGCTCAAACGACATCATCACGTGGTGCCCACTCTGGCCAACGCAGCCGATGGCCCATCTGCCTAGCAACGGCCGCATCACTGGCGGCGATGCCTCGTCACTGTGAGAGTGAATTCAACTCTACGGCAGAGATCTGAAAGTTGGCACTCGTTCGTGCAGAGAAAGTGCCAGAAATACATAGAAATACATAGAAATACATAGAAATACATAGAAATACATAGAAATACATAGAAATACTCAAAATGCACATTGTTTCACATTGTTTCACATTGTTTTACTTTCTCAAAGTGCGGTTTTCGTTTCACTTTCTGAATCTCTGAGAGTTGAACTCTGATGCGTTGTTCCTGTGGTCCTGGCCAAGTCCCATGCACTTTCTCTCCCTCGACATTCCTTGACATTCACATGTCACAGGTGAAATCGTGTGAGCATAGCCTTCTTCAACGGATTTGTTTAACATCTTTTCAGAGCTTGTGTAAAAATCGCTGTGATGTGGTCACGCATCCAGATATGCCCGACCGCCGGAGCTCATTGCTTTTTCGCGCTGCAGCCTGTACATACTCACAACACGAGCACAACAGCATTATCGCTGCTCTCTTGCGACCGATGCCAAACACATCTCCGGTCGCGCAGACGATCCCTCCCACTGTCCACGACGACTTAAGCCGATCGAACTCGGGAGGACCTGGCGCTTATACGCCAGTCATCATTTCAACGGAACCGCTTCGATCCTGCCAAGTGCACACTACATCCGGAAAGTGAAAAAAAGTGATAGTGGATGAGTGAATGGCAGAGGACAGTGTTGCCTCTTCGTCGAAAAACAGTTTTTAGTGACTTTAGTGACTTTAGTGCAAGTTTCAGAACCAAGCGCAGATCTCCTGAAGGGCTCGGCCATCCCGAAAGAGGCCTGCAAAAGACTGGGTGAGATGGTGAAACCGGTGAAACACAGAAAAGATCAGAAAACTTCTGTGACCTGTGTTTCACACTGTCAAACTTGGAATGGTCCCTTTGCATCCCTTTGCTTTTCTAATCTTTTCGGTTGCATTGTCTGTAGCCTTGCACTGGTCCAGTTTCTTCTTGTTGCGCAGCAAAGTCGTTGAAGATCTGCTCCAAACTGGCCCTCGACCGATATGGCTTTCGAAATCTTTCGAATGTTTCGGATTTGAAACCGCAACCAAGCGCTTAAGGGGAAAGCAAGTAGAGTATCACTGTAACATCTCTTGCATAATCTTGCCACTGTCCCACTTGAAATCTATTCTGACATGTGATGTTAGGCGCTGCACCCGGTCCAATCCATGAACTCCTGTGACAGTATATGTTTTCTAGTGATTCTAGTGTCTTCCTGTTTTACCATGTGCTGTGTTCCACACGTGATTTCATTTCACCAATCGATCTCGTCGGCTTAGCTTGCAACAAAGAACAACAAATGATGCAATGATGAAAGATGATGAAAGATGCTCGAATATGATGACAGACGATGAAACATGATGAAAAATGATGAGAGATGATGAAAGATGATGAGAGATGATGAAAGATGATGAGAGTTGATGAGAGATGATATGTTATGACAGATGATAAATCATGGTAAAAGATCATGAGAGATTATGTGAAACATGATGAAATATGATGAGAGATTATGAAACAAAATATGAAAGATAATGAAACATGATGAAAGATGATGAGAGATTATGAAGGATGATAAACTGCGATGAAAGATGATTACAAATGATGATGAAAAATGATGAAAAATTGTGAAAAAACATGAAAGGACAGGAAAAGAAACCCACAACCGGCCACGGCAAGCGTCTGGCTGACACCGTACTCGTGCAAGTGCAGCTCATCTCGTGACTCTTCGAGCACTCGGAACACCTGGAAATTCTCAACAGAGTTTTGCGGCAAAACCTCTGCGGCAAAGCTCTCCATCAAAATCTCATGTCTTGAAACAACTTTTTGGGTCTCTGTCTCTGTGATCTGCTTTGACTGTCGGTGCTGCAAGTTGTACCTCTCCCAGAGGACAGCTCTGCGGAAGCCGAAAGCGAAAGTTGTGTTCATGCCTCCGAAACGAAAGGGCAAGGCATGGGCAAGGCCGGCAAGGCTTTGATTTGAGGCACACAGGATTTGAAGCAAAAATGTAGCGTATTGTAGCGTGTGATCTGCCATGATCTTCCTCACCTGCGTTTCAACCTCAGTCCATGCCCATGCGCAGCCTACTGGCAGCCCCGCACCCCGAACCTCTCTAGTTGCAGAGTGCCAGGGAAGTGTCTCTCCAGAAATGCAGCGAGATTATTCGCACAATCTTCGAAGAGCCACCACTGGGCAAAGACCTCCGAGGAGACTGATCCTGAAAAGCGAAAAATTCTGTAAGTCGATACCATGTCTATGTCTGCAAAGTAGCGCCGTTGATTGCCTCTCTAAGAGATGAGACCCAAAGACTTCACCTTGGAAGCGCTTTTTAATCTTTTAATGCATTGCTCTGCATGACTTGCTGCATCCACTGCCAAGCGGAATTCTTGGCACTAGTTGTGGCTTTCCGAACTGTTTTGAAAAGTTGTAATGCCTCACCAAAATTGGACGGGAAAAGGAAGCAGGACTCAAAGAAACCAAAGATATTCAAAGTGTGTTTCAAGCAGGCAATGTTGGGCTTGTAATTTCATTGTCTACATCTGGTCCTTCTCGACTAAGACTGTCGAAGACCTTAGTCAAAGAGATTCCAAGAGACTGCCTGGAGGTGGAGGGTTTAAAAACAAGAACTGAGATAACGGAGATCTCACACAGGGAATCACTCAATACCTTTGGTATTTGGTCTATAAAGATGTTCTCAATGTCAATTTTTTGTGACGCGAAACCACTTATGGACTTGGTGCTTCACTATCTCATTTAAAGGATTACCGGTAACGGTTGATATCAACGGTTGTGGCACCGGTTGTTTCTTGGATCTGACTTCCTACATCTGTCACAGAGGAAGGAGCAAGGAATCCTTCTTCGCAGCCTGCACGGATCAGCGCCGCCCGTCCTCAACGTGCAGCGCTGAAGAGCGACGATGTATGATACACTGATAATGACTGATAGATGTGATAGATGTGATAGGGGATGATCAGGGTGGACACATGTGTGATGTTCTATGACTCTACGACTTTCAAAGCTGACCTTAGCTGTATTACATGTGCAAACCGTAGCCTCAGAATGTGTCGGATGTCCTGGCTGACCCAACTCTGCACAACTCCGTTTCACTTCGATCTCGTGCAGAAACGCAGGAAGCCTTGAAAGTGGGAACACAAGCGCGCGTAGTGACTCCCCGTGAGTCCCCAAACTCAAAGACTCATCGCTGGCTTAAACTATCAAGTCGTATGAAATCGACGTAGCCTGACGGTCACACAGACAGACAAGTTTCAGCAGTCTACATGGACTGCGTTAACGTTAAGCCGATAAAGTTGCACGTGAGCTGAAAGCAGTATCAGCTGCGTCCAATGCCATCTACTTCTTTGCTCAGGCATTTGGGTCCTGTCTCCTCATGTCCAAAACAGCCAGAAAATCTATACTGTATGCCTATCACCCAACAAGTCGGCACCAAGGATATTTTGAGTGTTCAAAAGACCTCGAAAAAAAATCCAGCGAGCTGCTTGTGCTTCAGTATGAAACCTTTCAAATCCTCCGGGCCATTCAAGCACACCTGCCACATTCAAATTTGGCAAATGAATTCGCACCATTCAACATGACAAAGGGACATAAGTGACAGTCAACTCCTGGCAATCTCCCACACCTCGAGTTGATATCCTTGGCCAAATCGTGCTTTTAGGCGTTGATTGCTGCCCAAACAGCGCAACCGGCCACCAACCTGAGAGCAAAGCAACGGTGACCCAAATCTGGTGCTAAGAGCAGCACACGCTCCCATTTGGAGTTGCTGAATGTTTGGAGAGCCGGATACTTGATGTTTGTAGAAGTAAATTACTTCGCTTGGGGCATGACGAGCTATGTGAGCGCAAGAACATCAAGAACTTTGAGATCGAAGGCAGTGACGTACATCAACGTGCATCAGAGCTCCAGAGCCGACTTCTGTGATACGTGCGTTTCCATGCAATATTCAAACCATGTCAAAACATGTCAAAACACGAGACTGTGAGGTGATTGTGATGTGAGTCAAGTAGACATGCGACAAAAAATTCGTAGACCATGCTGTGGGGAAACACCGATTCATCCGACAAGGGTAGATTCTCCTATCCAGAAAGACTTGCCGACGTGGATGGGGCCAGACTGCATTTTACAGCACGCCAAACATTCTACACAGAATGAGTTTCCTTCACTCCAAAGGGTGAGGATGTCCGAGAATGGACATAGAATGGACATATAATATAAAGATATCTAAAGTAGGAACGTGCTCGCATCCCCGGCCAACTGGCAATTGACAAAGTGTGGGGAGACAAGATGAGACAAGATGAGACAAGCGCGGGACACGCAGCAACTTCATCGACAAAACCCGACTCCGGCAAAAACAACCGACTCGGTTTCCCAGGCCCAGGAGTGCTTGGAAAGGCAGCAACATCTCAATAAGTGTCATTAAATTTGAACATTAAAAAATATCTTGCAACTTACAACATCTTACAACCCAGTTTTGCCATTCTTGCAATGCATAATCGTTCTTTACATTCTTGCCACTTATTTCTGATTGGAGCCATGAAATGGGAATCAGAAGAAGCACAAAATCAAAGGTTCTTTCCGCCCGTGCGACAAGACTGAGATCATTGAGATCATTGAGATCCAGACCATGATGCCAATGCGCGAACAGAGCGCTTCCGCTTCTTCCATGTTATGTGTGGTGAGGATTACCTCATTGGCGACCGGTGCGATCCACCCACAACATTCCAAGTTGTTGTGAGTGAAACCTCTCTCCCTCAATTCTTTCAGCTACGAGAAGTAGCTGCAATATGTAGATTCTTGGAGCTGACGAATGCATGGCAAGCATGTCAAGTGGCTCCTATCAGAGGGTCGTTGCGAAAAAATAGAAATAGCGACCTGTGGTTCAAGAGAAAACACGATCTCCCGGTTTCTTCCAACCAAGTGGCAGTGCTCTCCTTGCGCAAAGTGGAAACGGAGGAGATGACATGCCTTGTGTCGCTGCGCCGAATGTGTTCTAGCGCGTGATTTGTGAATGAATACGTGTTGATACTTTAAATATAATCAACTCGCCCTACAAATCCTACAATATCTCAGGATTGTATTGAAGCCCGACCCAAACCCGTATCAGTCGAACTCGTCTTCACAAAGCACACGTCACATAGCCATGGCACCACATCAAACGTCTAGCCGCTGGGTCGACGCCGGTGCTGGGTTCATCTAGCAGAACCAATGGTGGGGAACCCATCAAGGCGATGGCAAGCGACAGCTTTCCTCGGGACGTAATTTGTGTGACACGAAAAATTGACACGAAATTAGAAGCTGTTCAGATCTATTCAGATTCTCAAAATGACTTGGTGCAGGTCGCTTGTGGTCGAAACAGGTTGGACAATGGTGCTTTTCTATCCTTTTCTCACCTGCTTCTCTACATTCCTCCTTTTCACTTTCTTGGTTTTGAACTTTTCTCCCAACTTGTAGGGGCACTGAGCCACGATCAATGCTTAGGCATGTGCAGTTTGGCATGTTTAGGAGCATGTCAATTGGTTGACGGAGAAGTTAGCATCTATTGGTTATTGAATTAGTCTGTATACTACCTCATTGCAACAACGGACGTTGCAAACTCGTTTGTTGAACTTCCTGCGCCCCGGTTACGAAGGGCCAGTCTCAAAGAGGACGAGAGACCCCGACTCTGTGAGACCATGGTGACAATCGACCATATGACAAGGTCCGACACAGACAATGCACAGCCAGGGTTTGACTACTGAAAAGGTGCGTCACGACAAAATGAAGAAACCGATATGAAAATCAACACATGTTGGAATATGTTGAAATATGCTGAAATATGTTGAAATATGCTGAAATATGCTGAAATATGTTGAAATATGCTGAAATATGTTGAAATATGTTGAAATATGTTGAAATATGTTGAATCTTGAAGGTGTGCATGTTGCATCATTTTGCTGTAGGCTGCAAGAAACTAACCTGGCAAGGGCTTCCCTTGCCATGACAGCTTCCTTTGAATGGGCTTGAGAATTAAACATGGAACATCTGCGCAACTCAACAGTCCGGCAAGCATCGCAAGATATCGTGCAGAAAAAACGTTACAGTACAGTAAGATACAGTATCGTTACGTATCGTTAGTATCGTGTTGATTCGTGTTGGCAAACAAGTCCAAGCCAAGTCGCTCTTGTTGCCACCGCTTAAAGTCATTGACAATTTATCCACGTGGGGAGACAGCGAAAGGTCCTGGCTTCGAGCTTTCACACTGAGCAACGGTGGGGAATCCAGAAACAACGGTGAAATTGCAAGCTCTGCAAACAGCCACAAGTCTCTCCTGCATCATCTGATCACACACTCTGCGCAGATCCTGACAGATGCACAGGGTTGCAACATTTCGAGCTCTTGGCGAAGCCTTCAGCTTCTTTCGAAGCTTCACAACGGCTGGATGCTTCAGGTGCATCTACCAGGGACACAGGCGCTCGGTGCCTGTCGGGGAATGCCCTTGATCCGTCCGAAGAGCTCCAGGTGTTCGCGCACCTCAAAAGGTGTCGGCGCCTTTGGACACATTGTCACACTGCACTGATATGCACTGAGAATCTACACATAAGCTACGAGTACATAGTACAGTAGAGATCCAAGATACACATACACTATGCAACTTCAAACATATAATATATATACCAATACATATATATATATATGTATACACAGTAACTTGTCTACAGAAATACTTATGCCCACCCCACTCATTCATTGCATGTGACATGTGACGTCGCACCCATTTTGAATCTGGGGCACAGTGAGGCGATCCAACAGAGCATCGTGTTGGGGGCAGTACCCCAAGAGGCGTCTCACCTGTCTCTTTGGACTTGAAATGGACGACAAAGCACAGAAGCAGCGTGGGATTGATCAAAAAAAATCCTACATGTTCATGCTCTACAAATTCACTGCAAATCCGACAAGCCACTTTGAGTAGAAATAGATGACTTTCAGTCTTTCAGAATTAAAAATCAGGAAAAAATGGAGATACATCTGAAGCAGAAAGGCAACACATTGGAAAAATTGAGGATAGGATGTAGAATTCAAGCCACGACGAAGGCACATTTTGTCGATCTTTTGAAACTCAGTAAGGCAGCTGGACATCTTTGGACTGTAGGAAATCTGAAGGAGGGATACTATTTCAGATTCTATTGGAGAAAATATTGAGAGATACCTTCTGAAAGAAAGGTTTCAAAGTCTTCCAGCGCCTTCCGTTGCTCCTGGACCACATCAAAGCCACCCAAGAAGGCTTTGCCCGCAGACGGAAGAATAGCACCAGTCAAGATGCTCAAAGTGCTCGTTTTGCCAGCCTCACTTCACAGAATCTTCAAGAGTAATCACCGTTCCTTTGCAGTGCATCACATAATCTTCAACACTCAAATTTCTCTCCTGAAATCTGTTGCTCACATCTGCTTTAGATAAATTCGCTCGAAGAGCAAGAGAAGTAACTTAGGACATGGCAATCAAATCTTCAACTACTGCAAACATTCAACAGCAAGCTCGGATCGTTGCATCTGCATTTTCATTTTTCCTCCGATGCGGACACGACATAGCTGTCTTAGCCCCTTTCTGCGGTACCGAATCCCTTTTGGGATGGCTAGCGTGAGACCACGATGTGTTGCATTGCAAAGCATTCAAACTGAAAAGCTTGACTAGAAACTTTGATGCTCCGAAAAGGTTTTCGCTGCTTTCTGTACTTTCACCAAAGAAAAGTGGCTGTAGGTTACCATTCGAAGAAAACTTGCGTTGAGCATGAAGAGGAAAAAGTATTTAGTGATAATAGTGATAATCGTGGTAACGGGGAGAGATGATGAATCCCTTAGTTCTTAAGACGAATACAGAAACTAAAGCTTCAGGAGCCTCCATCACAGATCTTGCAATATCTTAGTGGATTTTACCGTGGGTATGTACCAACCAGTCTTTCGAACATCAGCGAGCACGGCGGCGATCGACCGCACGTTGGTGCAGCACCCTCAGATAGGTTCTGCGATGCAGCAAAAAGTGGGACAAGAAACGAAACCGTCACAAGCCTCACAAGCCTCACAAGATCTCACAAGCTACCCGAACTAGTTCCTGCTTCGACGGCATGAACAAGCTGTTCAAAACTCACCCTTTTCTTCAAAATAATTTGATGAGAAGAACCAGAGTATAGCAGAATCATAAAAATGTTCAAACACAGTATCTGAAATGCCTCAGAATGTCAGGCATGTTGGTACCCCATGTGCGACGTGCAAACAGGCAACCCCATGATCTCAGAGATGTTCGATTGTACCTTGCCGATGTCCGCTTCAACCTTGGACACCTCGAGTCAATGCTGCTTAAAAAGAGAAAATCTGAGAGAGAGAGAGAGAGCGAGAGCGCGCAGAGACGCACAACTGGCATCAGGAACAGAATCCAGCCATTTGACCTGTTAGAAGAACTACTCTTCTGCAAGTTCAAAGAGGGCTGTGGCTTACGGAGATTCTCAGGGGTTTACATGGCATGACATGATCACTGGATAACAAAGAATACAGTTGACAAGGGGGTTCCTTCATCACAACTCACCAAAGTCCAAATCCCAGATCATTATATGATCATTGCATGATCATTGTATAATCGTTGATCATTCCCTGCCTTCGTGCCCAAGAGGTCCACCTGGTGGACCTCAATTCCTGAAGCTGGTTCAGTTCCGGTTGCGGAACTATTCGGCGTGCCGGGGGTGTCCAAACCCCCTTTTCGCGCAAGCTCCTGACACGGTTTCCGTTGTGAGAAACGCACGAAATCTGGTTGGCACAAATAACTGAAGCCAATTCTTTAAAAACAACTGCAATTCCTGATGCTTTTGGTTTGCTGGAGTCCAAAGTCAGTCTCTCATGCTGACAGTCAAAGAACCCTTTACATACGCCCACGCTGCTTCAGTGGCTGAGCCAAACTGGTGGATTTTTTTTGAGTCTGTGGCCAGAATTGAGTGCAGTCCTGCAATGCTTTTTCGTCGGTGAGTATGGCGAGTGCTTCTCGGCTATTCTTCCTGAACAAACATTGAGGGTAAACAAAGTCTGAAAGCGATCGGAGTTCTTTTCCTTTGACTCTAGCTAAACCATCAACCCATTCATTGCAATTGGAGAGCATGTGTCATACACTTCATCCCCATTGCCAATACTATAGTCACTGGAGGTCGGGTTATACTCAGCTGTCTCTACAACTTACAAATGCAGCCAATCACATGGATGTACGTGGGTTTGTGTGATGAAGTTCACTTTGGATGTGATATTATGCACAGTTGTGTATGTGTGTATACAATTATGACATGTAATGATGTACATATACATAAATGTATCACAATATGTGTGTGATGTATAAACTCTATAATATACATATGTTCGCATTCTATTATACAAGAACTGTGTATCTACAATATACGTGATTCTATACTACATAGTATACACCTCTGATGGTAAGGTACCTCTCTCTTGTTGCAAGAAGATAGATGTATGACGTGTCAGCATCGGTTACTATGTATGTATGTATGTATGTATGTATGTCTCTGTAAATGTCTATGTCTATGTCTATGTAAATGTGTATGTCTATGTCTATGTCTATGTCTATGTAATGTAAATGTAAATGTAAATGCACATGCATTTGATATGTATATGTATATGTATATGTATATGTATATGTATATGTATATGTATATGTATATGTATATGTATGTGTATGTGTATGTGTATGTGTATGTGTATGTGTATGTGTATGGTGTATGTATGTATACGTATACGTATACGTATACGTATACGTGTGAATATGTGTATATATATATATATTTAATTTATATCCCTGTGACATTCACGGTAAACGAAATCGAATCGTCCATAAGCATACCATATCAGTGTCATTTGAGACCTAAGATCTGTGACTTGAACGACTTGAACGACTAGGTGCAGAATCTCAGCGCATTGCTTCACCAAGCTGGACAGCTCCATGGCTCCAGGTGGTGCAGAAGAGGCCTGACGGGAAACATGGCGAAACAATGACCACATTGCCACATTGCGGACGCAACTACTCTTGACATTACCTTTGACGAACAGGTAGTTGTAGGTCACCTGGCTAAATTCAGGCACCTTAGGCACCTTTCACCCTAAAAAGAAGGTTCTGCCTTTGGTGTCGCATAAGAAACATCACGATTCAGTGTTTATCTTATAATTTAAACAAAGCAATCAAATTGAAAAAAAGAGAAATGAATACGAATACGAAATCTTGATTTTGTGACTTTGAAGCTGAAACGGTGGCTGAAAACAAATTAAGCATTATACGTGATTATAACGTGCAACATAAAGTTAATAATGTGCATGTATGAGAGACATAGGTTTCCTTAGAGAAGGCCAGGTTGGCACTGGCGCGCTGGCCCCTGCCTTCAGAACTCCTTCGCAGAACTCTTCGACGCCGACAGTGCCGCCACCGTCGTAGTCAAGCAGCCCGAAAAGTTCCCTGCAAACAAGTAGAAAACGCAATATTACAATATTATGAATATGATGATATGATTGTATAACCATGCATGGTTATGCTGCAATGGTTAAACGCAAATTCAACATAAGTTCAAGGCAGGAAAAGGCAAAAAAAAAACAATCCCACCACCACCCCCTGTTACCCAAACGTGCCAAGAAACTCCAAATCACTACTTCCGGCAATCTCCTGTCAGAAACATGGGCTGTCAAAGTGAATTTTGCTCATGTGTCCTGCTAGTCCTACTCACTTTATGTTGTTTCTATCTCCGTGTCCCTGGCAGGACGGATCCTGGAACCCTGCGACCCCTGGAACCCTAAGCGGTTCAGTCTGGAACGAGTCTTGTCTCCTTCAACTGGTCTGTGGCTGATTCAGGCGCGTCAAGAAGTTCCTGGGAGGACCAATGGAACACGGGACAGGAGAGACGGGACCACAGTTTCCTTGATCCCAGGACCAAAAATCACTGATTCCTGTGAAACGTGAAACCTTCTGCTTCAGCTGATTGCACAGCTGGTTGCACACTGATTGGTCAAACCGTTGAAATTTGTTCACAACGTCCGCAGTGTCAGCAGTTTCAGCGAATCGATTGGCAAATGGCAACTGGCAAACTGAGAACAGCTGAGAACATGTGCACATCAATCACATCGGTCACATCGATCACATTGCGCCGTCCTCCAGGCTCAGCTCTCCAGATCCATCTTCATCTAATTCCAAGAACCTCGGAATGTCGACGGAATCACTAAGCAGAACCTGTCAGATCTGTCATTGCAAGATAAGCCGAACCACGAGGTATACTGGTATACTTGAAGAGTGCTCAACTTAGATCTTGAGTGCCTTAGGATATGGTAGGTAATTTTTATCCTCAGGGCTCAGAATTGCAGTGGGAAGTTTAGCAAGTCTTGACGCTGACCATTCAAATGGCAGAACTGCATGTCTGTCCCTGCGTCACAGTCAGCTCCTTGGGCTAAGTGAACGAAAACACCTGAAAGGCCTTTGAGATTTGCTTACCATGTCTTGAGCTGTGCAAGTCGTCATATCCTGGTCACCAAACGCCCGAGATTTCTGCTATTCCACTACAGTGGTGTGGAACAACTGGAACAACGTTCGAAAGAATGGCATTGAGCCGATCTATACTCTCCACAGTCAGCGCTGTCTTTGACTTCCTAACTTTACTATATAGGGCCAGCCCTGTGGAGGTTCACAAGTCCGATCAAACTCACCTCCTGCGTGTCAATCGTCTCACATGCTTCAGCCCACATCATGCTGAAACGACAAAAAATGTCACGCTTTGAGTCACTCTTTGACCCTGGACCGGCTTCGATCCAATGAGAATTTGCCTGTAACCCGTCGGCCTAGCCGTAGGCGCTCTGACGGCTTGTGAAAGCGCGCATGCAATGTTCATCATTCTTCCATAATTTGTTTTCGCGTTTGAGGGCATGAGCTACTTTGATCATCAGTGATCAGCTTTTGGAAGAGCTGATCTTGTGGACAAATGTGGACAATGTGGACAATGGATTGCCGAAAATCCTGCTGCCTGAACAAGCCTTTCGCTTGCTGCGACACGGGCCCCAAGCTTGCCACAGGCAGGTTCACGGCCAGTGTGTGGGGGCAGCTTCAGGAAACACCGAATGCCAAACATTGGAGAATTTGCTGCAATAATGGAAAAATGCTAGTAGCGTCGCAAGCTCAGCAGTCTGTTTCTGTTCATCCTGTTCTCTCTCATACTCTAAAATGCTCTCAATCCTCTCAATCTTCTCACTCCTCTCAGTCCTATCACCCCTCTCAATCCTCTCAATCCAACTCCCGACGTGCTTTGGGCCCAAGGATTTTGAGCCATTTGGCTTCACAATTGGACACAATTGGACACTACCAAACGATCCTTCGAAACCTTGGCGAAGAATTCTTCAAAGCTATGGGGAGGTGGGCTGCAAGTTGCTGACCATGAGGCCTTCATGAGATCGATGAGGTTGATGAGATTCCAAGAAGATTTCTTCAAGAGCTTTGAAAGCTGCTTGATGCTGATGAAGGACATTCATGACCGTCTGACCGTCGGGTGATCTTTTTACTTGGCAAAGTAGTAGGCTGTACGAACCCGCGTATCTTTCCTATTGAGGTTGGCACCTGAGCCTAAGAGTACGGCAACCATCTGTGGATTGGTCTGCTTCACTGCTTCATGGATTGGGTAAGTCACCCACCATGTTCCTTTCTTGTGGTTGGGGGTTCCCGGATCGAAGGCGTTCTCCTCAAGGAACTTCTCCGCCGCAAGACAGGCGATTTGTTTGCCAGTGGGAAAATTCCTTAACATGTCTTAAGAATTTCCTTAACATACTTTGGGCAAAGTCAGGTCCTGATGTGCCAAAACGATCAGGTCCATCTTGTCCATGTTGTCCATTTCGTTTGGGTTCCCAGATGGGGTGCCTAGCTGAAGTTACAGCGCCTGCATGTCCTAGAGCAGCCTAGACAGAGTCCAAAACTGCCAGCCGCAGATCAAATCAGCAAGACGTGGCCAGTATGCAGATCAAATGCTTTTAAAAACTTTTACGGCTTGTTTTAAATATGTTTTCCAGTATGTTTTGATGTGTTTTCAGTAGAGCTTTCAGTATGGTACAGTATGATTCAGATTGATTCAGTGCGTTTTGATGCAAGACATGAAATTCATGGTTCTTTCACGTTCTTGCATGCTCTTTTTATCTCCTGTGAAATGAATGGCACTGCAAGTCTTGACATCTGACCCTCAGGTTGCACTGCGACCGAGGTTGCAACATTTTTTTCAAGCTCTCCATCTGCTTGGCCTTGCGAGCAGCTTCCCAGGCTTTCTTCGCTTCTTTATCTTGGCTGGCCTAGAAGGCAGCGGCCGAAACATCGCCGGACCCTCCTGGACTCTCCTGTGACTCTCCCCGATGTCAAAATGATCCTGGGATATGCTATATATGCTATATAAATTATACAGGTTATATACTATAATTATAGGTTATATACTATAATTATAGGTTATATAATGTTATACAAAGGTTATTGGTGTTTTTTGATGTCTTTTGGTTTTGGAGCCTTTCCTGCGACTGTCACGCCATCGCTTTCTCGCCTGGTCCAGCGAGGAATTCACCATCACAGCGGTCACCTGAGTGCCAGCACTGACATTGCGATGTATTGTGACGTACTGTGCCAGCACTGACAGCATTCAGACTCCTGCCTCAGTCTGACTCCTTGCCTTTCTCAAATCTAGGATAAGCATCTACGCCATTCATCTGCGTTCCACTCTCCGCGATGGAATGTGCTGAATTCAACACCAGAGAAATATTTATATAAGTTTAAGTCATTTTACAACATTTGGGAAGAGAGAAGGGGCTTGCACAGTTTCTTGCACGGTGCAAGCTAACAAGCGCTTCTTCTCAGGACTCCACGAGATTCATCAAGGCAATTGACAAGATCAACATGGCTAAAACAAAGTAGACCTCAGGGTGCTCAGTGTGCTCAGCGTGGCAAAGAAATTCAAAGAATCTCTCCAATTCCTGTTTGACGAAGAGGTGCAAGATTGAACAGTGCCAAAGTTGCAAAGAAACTATGAACGCGCATGTATCATTGCTCTACACCTGCATGATAATAATAATAATAATAGTAGTGGTTTCTTTTCACAATGGATTCGCACAGCCTAAGAAGCCTTGTGGGAATGTGCTTACTTTGTAGCCAAGAAGCAAAACAAAAGACATTCTGCTTGACTAATGGTCGGTAGATGCCACCGATGCTATCAAAGCCTCAAAGTTGTCCATGTTCTTCAAAGATAAAGCTGTTGTTCAAGCAAATTTGCGTTCCAAGACATAGAAGTCGTGTTCACAGAGGAATCAAACAACTGCATGGGAAGCTGGTTTAGTTGGTTGGGTTCAGAACTAACGCCTCCTAACGTGGTCTATGGGAGTGCAACATGCGACAACCTTCCATAGCTTGCCACAGCTCACAACTTGCCACAACTTGCCACAACTTGCCACAACTACAAAGCATTTGGACACTGTCGAGTCTGTCGAGTCTGTCGAGGTGCTAAAAACCTGAAGCAATGTGAGAATCGCATCCATCGTGTCGCGGAAACAGAGCGATGCAGCTGCATTGTACCTTGGGGAATGCGTGGCGCATGTGTGGTGCATGTGGTGCCTTGAATGTTTGACCCCGACCGGTGAAACGGTAATCTCACATCGGGAAAGATAGGAAAGGCAACTTAGTTAGTTGACACAGCCATGTACAGTAGGAGACGAACCAAAAGAGGTACGAGTAACAAGTTGCCTCTAGGATTGCTTTAATGTTGCTGAATCGATTCCCAGATTCCCAGCTGGGAAACTTGACAAATCTCCGAGTGAAGCAGAAATGTTTCTGAGCATCCCAGTATTTTGCAACATGTATTTTACCCATTTTTACATGTCCAACTTTGTTCATCTTTGTCCCACTTGAACTGTGCAACTTGAAGTCCAGTCTTCACAGTCTTGACACGGGTGGTCCACTGGCAATTCCTGGTCAACTTTGATCAACTCCATGCCCGTCACAGCAGCGATGTACATCAGGAGCATCACCTGCGAGTGTTGTGACGGCACGACAGCAATATCAGCAGATCAGATTGCGCACGGCAGATTGACATAGACAGAGATTGACCAATCGGATCCAATCGGATTGCAAAGTTGTCCCCTTCAAACTGACCAGACTTTCTATGACTTTCTATGACTTTCTACCCGTCATGTGCATCAACTCTCCCGTGCCATCCCTAAGCCCCGCACAAGCAAGAAGGTCCAGAACAGTGTGCCAATGCTATGGAAAAGACCTCCCAGCTGTGTCTTGTGTCCACTGTGTCCACCTTTTTCAGTTCAGTGAATTTCCAGACTGCCTAGACAGTATGCATGTTCACCTTTGTGTTGCAATATGTTGCAATATGCTGGAATATGTTGCATTTTCATGCGTTTTCCCCTTTCAACATTCTTTACCTGTTCAAAAAAAAAACAAACACGGCCAGCTTCCAAAACGCTGTTTCGCTTCTCTCATTCTTTCCCGTGAGCTCCAGCTCGGCCCCGGCCAGGGCCAGCTCGGCGCCTTGTACAAGTTGCCACAACGTCTGGAATTGGACCATGAGGCGCAATGCCCTGCAAAGTGAAACATTTCTCAAGAATTCTCAAACTCTCAAAGTTTCTCAAACACAAACATATCAAAGTGTTAAAACGTCACAAAACCTCTCAGCGCGAATCGAACATTGCTTCAATCTGCTCCACTTCTGGCTTTAGTCACTTTAGCCATCTTTGATCATCTCTGGCCACCTTTCCGCCCTCCCAGCAGCCTGGCCAATCGTGCCAACCGCAGCAGTCTTACCTGTGGCAAAACTGGAGGCATCTTTGGTAAGCTGACATCAGTTTATGTGTGTTGCGACATTTTGCGACTGTGATCAAAGAGCGGTTTATCATGGTTTATGGATGTTTATGGATGTTTATGGATGTTTATGGTTCATAATGGCTTATCGCTTTAAATCTTTGGAATCCCATGGAATCCCATGGAATCCCATGGAATCCCTGAGCCAAGACACGAGCATCACCTGGTTCAAGACTTCAGTAGTCGACACCAAATTCACGATGATGTCCACGGTTGAGGCCTCAGATCTCGCCACGCTAGACCGCAACGCCGCGCCGCTAGCGGCGCCACACATTCATTGCAATTCATTGCAAATTTTGCAAACGCATTCGTTTGAAACACGTGATTCATGTGATTCGTCAAACTTCCTTGACCAGAATCCCAAACTGAGCATCAGACTGTCACCAAGAATGTGTCAAACTTCACCCTCAGTTTGCTTCCCGCAACGGGCGTGACACCGTAAGTCCTTCTTGTTGCAAAATGAGAAGTTGCACGAATGTGTTCAATGTCCGAGCTTCCAGTGGCTCTTCAGCACCAACACTCCATAGACAGCAAAGCGTAAGACCAGCTCAGTCAAGTAGACAGCATAGAAGCAATAGTCCACCTTGGCCAAAAGTCCATGAAGACCCTCGGCACTGAATGCTTCAGGTTGCAGTCATACTGGCCCCCCACCATACCAAACAAGGTAACACAAGGCGGAAAAGTCTGTGCACCGAACCCCAGCCAACATAACTCGACCAGAATTTGTGAGGAAAGCGAACTGGTTGGTAGGGACATTAGAAACCACTGCAAGTCTGTGAAAGTCTGTGAAAGTGGGAAAACAGATGTCAAGGCTGTTCAGATTCTCAAACTCCAGCAACTTTGCTGTCTTTGCTCGTCTCAGAGGCAAGTTCCAGATCTCTCCAAGGGACCCTTGTACGGTTTCAGCGGTTTCAGCATCCCAAATCTGGAGTTCCAAAGGACCAATGTGTCAATTCATCAAATGGACGAGAGACGACTGTGAGCCACATAGAAGGCTTGGTGCAAACCTGTGTTGGATCTACCTGGTCCTGTCGGGGCCAAAACAGGATCTGCAAATCCTGATGGCTGGGAATCCATCAGAAAACCATAGAAAACCTAGGTTATCAATACGTTATCTATATAAATGATTATAAAATATTTATAAAATATTATAAATGCCCCTACCTCACACATCCTCACATCGAGTCAAAGCATCGCCACATGTCGCATGAGACTCGCTCTCCCGGCTCTCACCTTGCAGTCGCAGTCCATCGAGCATCCCAGCGGCATCCAGGCGCGTGCCTGACTTTCCATGCCAATTACCACCTAAGACAACGAGATCAAGACGACGTGACGACGTGACAAGATCCAGGGGAAAACCTGGGGAAAGCCTGGGCCACCTGGGCCACCTGGGCCACCTGGGCCACCTGGGTCAAGGAGCAAACAAAACACAACAGACAACTCTCATGGCAACCGGTTTTTGACGGCCCAATATATAGAGACCTGGAAACGATACGAAGCAATTGGAAAGCTGGCCTAGCACAAGAAATAGATGGACCTTACTGGCTATTCCACTTCAAATGTTCCAAATTTTGATGTTGTGATGTTCCTGTTCGTTTATGTTCATGCAGTTCATTGGGCAATCAGACATATCTTCCTTGACTCCCTGGAAGCCATCAGGACCCGGTGTTGCAAAGGCACTGCGTTGGCCAAAATCACCATGCCAATCATGGTGTCGAAGCCCCACCACGAAAGCCATTCTGAGCGGGAAAATACATCAGCAGAAATGACCAGAATGTAAGATTCAGGAATCGCCAAAAAATGCAAAACACAATGTGGAAACGGTCGTACAGTACTTTTCCGTGCTTGGTTGTTCACTAGTTCCCTGATTCACTGATCTGTTTTGTCCAGATCAAACAAGTAGAAAGATAGATAGATAGATAGATAGATAAATAGGATCGATAGGATCGATAGGATCGATAGGATCGATAGGATTGATTAGATTAGATTAGATTAGGTTAGATTAGATTAGATTTAGATTAGATTAGATTAGATAGATAGATAGGCTACAAGCTTCAAACAAGTATCAATCATTTTTGATATCTGAAACGCAGGGGTCCTTGAACCACAACTCTTCTGCGCTCTTTGAGTTCAGCGTCCAAACATGAAACCGAGTCTAGTTCTGCAACCTAAACCTCTGGTTCCAAATGTTGCCCATATGAATCATCATATGATCCCATATGAATCGTCTTGTGAACTTTATCTACTTCTTCGCGGCAGAATGGACTGTTCCTTTAAAATCTATTCACGGGTAAATTTTATATAGATGCACATGCTTTACGCTTTTCCGGTCTTGGCAACTGTCATCTACAAGCAGCACAGAAACCCACAGCTGGCTGGATATCTACCAAGCTTCTATGCAGCACCTGAGCTCAATATACACAGCTTGTGACTTCAAGGTGGAGAAGGAAAGGGAAAGAAAGCTACTCCAAGATGATCTCCAAGATGGAAATTATCACTAAAGGAGCCGCAAATCAGTACAAGAGAGGCACCTTCAAATGGGGAAAAATTGAAAACGACACCGGAAAATCGGAAAACGTCTGGAAACTCCGGTGACATGCGAGGCCCGTGACTTCTCCAGTTTCCACATGTTTCCACCAAGTCCTCCAAGTCTGCCAAGTCTGCCAAGTCGCCAGTCTCGTTCCAGTGAAAGTGCTCGGATCTGTCTTCAAAGCCTCAGGTCAATCGCGGTCCATCGTCAACGTGTCAACAAGTCAATGCTTCAGTGATTCAGGAAATTCATGGAAGTTCAAGAATTTGGGAAATTCGAAAAATCATCGGGAAAAAAATAGCCGACTCTGACTCTGCATGTTGTACATCTGCAAGCTTGCATATCTCTAATTCCAAAATATTCCAAATACATGGATTGATTTATCAAATTTTATCACATGAATTTGAAATTAGGACTGAATTTTGTGTCCTCTCTATTGATCATCGCCATCTGCCAACTTGAATTTAAACCTTCCGAGAGACTGCTTGAATCTCTGCTGCTTTGCCACCAAAATTCACTTTCCTTGAAAACAGGGCAAGAAGAAGTGCAAAACTTTGGAAGGAACAAATGCCCGTACTGATTACCGTATGTTATCATTTAATGTATATCATATGCAGGCAAACACGATTCAAAGATATTCAAAGTCTGTGACTGTGAAGTTCTCAAGCAGTCTCAAGGGCTCTACATGGCTCTACGCTACATTCATGGCTTGTGCGGATTGTCACGGTCACAGCTTGGAAAGTTCATGTCAAATCTTGAGAAGTGCAGCTTTCTGAGACGAGAAGCAGGTCGTAAGCCTCCCGATGAAATGAGACAGTGAACAAGAAGAATATCAATTTGGCAAATCAGAAATGGGGCTGAACTTTCAATTGCATGAGGGCAAGTAGAGCAACAGAATGTGAATCCAGCCCAAACATGTCCAAACACTGCAAACTTGGAGGTTTCCCTGAGAAAGGTTTCGATTCAGCCCTCGCCGAAGTTGTTTCACCTGAGAATCTCAGCATCAGATGTCTTGGTGTCACGATATTCGGCATGATATTAACGTTTTTTTGGGGGGTTGTTATATTACAATTCAATGATTTGCATAACTTCCTAAAGTGGTAAGTAGCATTAGGCAACCACCAGGTGTCATGAGCGTCGTTATGGTGCCTGCGCTAGCTTGTCCTGATGCGCTGTGAACTCTTCGTTCTCTTCGAAGACTTCCTGGCGATGGCAAAACTCAGCAAGGACTCAGCCAGGATCGAGGATGGATCGACGATCTGCAGTTGATGAACCTCGTTATCGAATCATCGAGGTCGTTGAAGTTGATGAACTATTTCGACAGATTCGGGAAATGTCTTCAATAATTCAGCTTGTGCTTTTGTCCTTTCAAGAGCTTTGAACTGATCACCAAGACTATTCATGCGCTTCCAATTTGTGCAAGCAGCAGTGACATTTCGACTTACCTGGAAACCATCCGGGGCATTCTTGAGAGATGCATCTCACAGAGCACGCAATAACTTTTGATGACAAAAAGACCATTCTGGAGTTCCCACTGGTCTTCGAGGCTTTACACTGAAACGAGCTACATGTGCGGCAACAAGTTGTTTTACCCACAGGAGGGGTTCAGTACGGACCAGCATCCCAGTGCCAGGCGTTTTTCCAAGGAGAAGATTTGCACCCGTCAAAAGGATCTATATACTTTATATAAAAGGATTAAAATCTCCCACCCGTCAAACAATTACACTCCAGACTCGCCACAAAAGCGAAAAGTGGGGAAAGGACGACACGCATGAAGTTCGCAGAGGGTTCACTTTTTTGTTTGATTTTCCTAAAAATGCGTCTTGGGACATACAAACGCACAGATGTACCAAGGTGATAAAACACTGTGCCTGCGCAGTGAAATCAACCTCCTTAGGACGTTAACTAATCCATTCCGGGCAAACCCTCCGTCCTAAATGTTGATTTTACTGAGAATGCAAACAGTTTATACTTGTGTTCAACATATGTCTTAAAGAGTTCAACATCAAACAAAGTACCCATCTTTGAAATATCTAGCTGAACTCTTCATAATATGTTCACCACAAACCTGCATATGGTTGGAACAGATACTTGACACGTGTTGAACAAGTTCAATCAACTCAATCTCGCACAATCCACCTAAAACATCTAAGACATCTACAACATCTATGTCTACAACTAATACATATATGATATATATATATATATATTATACATAATTTTATAGAATTTTATATCATCAACGCAAGGAGATGCAACGAGCACGTCAACTCCCAAGCCTTGAGCACGTCCGTCTTCGTGACGTCGACCACGTGCGCCTCGTCCGACGAGTGGCTGGGCCGGGGCGGCATGGCCTTCTCCTACGGCACGAAAGACATCGAAAGACGACAGAAAAATCCATGATGAAAATCTGATGAAATACTGTGTGCAATGGCAAGGTGACAGAGAAATCCATGGAACGACACCATTTTCTGAGCTGTTGCTGTACTGTTTTTTTCGGTTTAGAGAATCTAATCTAGTCCTCGAACACATGAATGAACGAAACAAGACAAGATCTGGGAGAAGATAGATCTTAGTTATAGAGCAGACAGGGCAGAACTCCCAAACATGCACAAAATGATATGATTAAACTGCACCTTTGTAGTTCCCCGACGCTTGCGACTTTACACATTGGACTTGTGTTTTCAAATTGGTCCTGGGGTTCTCTCCAAGCATCGTCCATTGGCCTGTGCAGTTTGTCAAGCTGTCCATGCCATCAAGAGGTACACACACACACACAAACACACACATCGTCGATTCCTCTGCGTGTTCGGTTCATTGGGATGTAGAGTAAGTGACAAGGGATAGAGTCGAGCATGAGTCAAAACGTTTTTTTGGAAGAGTGAAACGTGTCGAAACGTGTGAAATTACTGAAGATCACCGCCACTGTGAGACGAACGCCGCACGTTGCAATTGCTGACAACTGAAGCAGCCTGGAGGCAGGGCAGAGGTGCCATTGCGGAGTATCGCTTGAGCCAGCTGCAGAACATCTCGATTAGTCGGGATTGTCAAGAACGACAGCTACCCCCACGGCTGCACAGGTTGGTCCATCACGGTCACTGAACTCTGAAGTCATGTCAAGTCAGTATCAAGTCATGTCGAATCTGTCTTTGCTCAACCAACTCAACAAAACTCCTATCTCTGCACTTTGGGGGATGGACTGTAGAGCCTCCCTCTCCTGCCTTCCCCATCCTTTCCCATCCTTTCCCACGTTTCCTGTCGAAATCCACAGATCTATGCAGGTCTGTGGAGTTTGGAGGGAGGTCTTCGCCAAGAAGCTCCGTTGGTGCCCAGGAAGGCAAAGCATTCACCCAAGCGCAAGCCGAAGGTCAGGCTTTGGACTGCCACCTGTTCACATCAAGTCTCTTCAAGTCTCTTCAAGTCTCAAGGTCATTCATCAGCATTATAAAATATTATAAACATTTCTAAACTGTCTCAATCATAGATGTCATAGATCAACATCGAAGGAGTTTAGAGTTTAGAGTTTAGAGTAGACTAGGATCAGCAAGTGATGGATAAACTGCTTCAATTGAGGTGTCGGAAATGCTGAAGAAACTTATAGCTCAATAGCTCTAACATGTTCTAACACTTCAACACAGCCAGTTCTAGTTGTTCTGTGAAATTACAGACCATGTCTTGTACGTTGTTTGAGTAGATGGAGTAGTTCTTCAACTGGGAATTGTTAGTTCTTTAAAGTTCCTTATTCGGACACGAGCCTTTGGAGCTCCCTCCGGTGTTCGATAAACCTGACGAACTTGAAGATTCAGCCACAAATGCTCAATGCCACTGCGAGTATTGTGGCAATGCAAGCAGAAACACTGGACTCGCCCTCCAGCTTTCTAGCTGTTGAACCCAAGAGAAATCAAGTACAGTATCAAGTGCCCAGAAGGGCCAAACCTTGAAGGTACTACGGACCCGTTGCAATTCTGACCTCCAATACTCCTCTTTTCAAGCTCAGAATGGGCTCTATATATGGACTATAGATTCCGAAGCCGAACTCAACCTGACATAGAAATCTTGAAGTTTCAGTCCGACCAAGTCCGACCATATGGGAGCTTTACAGGCCTGCCAGTGTGTGCTTTCCAATGGCAGTAACTTCGTGCCGGGTCCCACCTTTCTGAGCTTCTCCAAGCGGACGACA